AGAGTGAGGAGGAGATGCTCGAGGGGTTGAGGGTATATAACGCGACAATTGCCGGATGCGACCGTTCGTGCGAATTGCGCGCGGGGAACTTAGGTACCGTGTACGCGAATTTCCGCGAGGAGGATGCAGGCGAGAGAGAGAAGAGGGAGGGGGGGGGGAGAGAGGGTGGAATGATGGGAGGACGAGCGGAGGTAGAGATGAGCGCAGCTCGAGGAGGGCTCAAATGCGAACGAGGGTGAGGGGTTGTATAGATACGTCCCTGCGGCGGTGGTTTGTAATATTATGATAACCCTCCCTGCCTGCGCGCCTGGCTGCCTTCCTCCCTCCTACTCTCTCTCGCTCTCCCTCTCGTTTCCCTCCTACGCGTATACCAGGCGGCCACCCTCTTTCAGCGGCCATGTTGCCGGGAAATATGATTATTGTTATTATTTGCACCCTCCTTCGGTCGTATCCTCCTGACTCCTCACCTCTTCATAACAGTCCCGTCATCCTACCGGCGTGGCTTCTCTTTCTCTCTCTCTCTCTCTCTCTCTCTCTCTCTCTCTCTCTCTCTCTCTCTTTCTCTCCTTTATTCCCCTCTTTTCTCTCTTCTTCCTCTTTATTCCTCTCGCGTAGCATCCCCGCAGTCATGCCATCCTGCGTAATGCTCTCTCTTCGCAGCTCCTCTCCTCTACTCCCCTTCTCGTCACACGAATCTCTTTCCTTCTCCCACCTCCGACTCTCGCGTCATCCTGCGACTCCATTCTCCCATACCCCCGTTCTCCCGTTCTCCCTGTGTAGATTTCTCTCCGCTTTCGGTGCCGCTGGCCGACGAATTGAGAGGAAACGAACGAGAACAGGGCCGACCGAAGCAACCGCCCGTCAACCGAAACCGCTTTCCTCTCTCGCCCCTTTCTCTTCTTTCGACATACATCCACCGTCCACGTCGTTCTTTCTACAATCCTTCCTGGTCTTCCCCTTTCCTGCGGTTACCCGGAAAACTTTACAACGCGAAATGCTATCCCTGCGTCGTACTTTTCGGCTCGCTCTTTCTCTATCTGTCTCTTTATCTGCCTCTCTTTATCTCTCCTGTTCTCTTCCTGTAGTTACGCACGGGTCCACTTTTTTTACATCGTTCTTGCTTCTTCTTTCGCTCGTTGCTCCTTTCCTGCAGCTTTCCACGCGCGGTTCATTTCAACTCGTCCCTGCGGAAACGTTTCATCGACCACCATTCTCGGTTTTTTCCTTCGGGCTTTTTCTCGCCTCCTCGAACTTTTCTCGCGTATCTAATGTCAAGACTATTCTTCAGCGAGCGAAAATCCCGCATTAAAATTATGCCGCATTGTACGCATTAAATATCGCTACTTGTAATCAATATGTTATATTTTTGCATAAAATGTAAATCATTATCGTATGCATTATCGTATGACATTTTTTTTTGTACCTTTTATATAAAATATTGTCTTATAGCACAATTGCAATTTTTAGCTCTTTAGAAAATACACAATTTAGTATGTTATTTTAAATAGCATGCGTCGTGAAAAGTAAGTGCGCTATTCACGTTGTAAACAATACCGTGACTTTTCGTAATGCAAGCATATGCAAGTTAATTATCGCACGTTGAAAAATAAATATACGAGCTTTAACTTTAGCGCGAGTTGCGTCAGAAATATACAACACATTTGAATTTTAAACGTACATTTAACACTAAATGTAGCCATCTAATTCTCATTGCGTTGTCCCATTTCATCTGTTTACATTGCGCGTATGCGATTTTCATATTAAGCACATAAAGCACAAAATCTAACACATTTAGTGTTAAATATACGAGGAAATGAAAGGACCAAATTTTCAGGAGTTAGTTTAACGAAGAATTTATATATACTTTCAAAGCGCGACCTCTTAATATCGCTTTCAGTTTTCATTACAACGAAGACTCGATAATTCATGCCTTTAAACGAATAGAAATAATAATCACTTTGAAGAGACATGTAGATCTAATACACGTAATTCGTCGTAAACTCGCTTAATCGTGTTGAGTCTCTCGTCGTAAACCGCAAGCATAGCTATATATAATGGTAAACGTTGAAGATAATAAGGTGCTCGAGAATAGCATGAAACAAAGGAAATATCAGGTGTGGTTGAAAACTAAATGAAAATAAACATAGAATAAAATAAAAAAAAAACAGGAAATAAAGAATATATAGGGAAGTTGATTTTGGCAATCAATTTTCACTCAAAATGATATAGGGAATGATATAGGGAATTATATAGGGTCGAACTTGTTGACAATGCATGAACAATATGAGCATTATGAGTATAATGCATTTCTTTAGAAAATCATATGTTCTAAATTTTAAGCAAATACAGAATAACAGCACACCCCGAACAATCGCGGCTCTCGTATTCATAATTCTCTGTAAACATGATTAATATTATTCACAATTGAAAAGTAGATAGTAGTGCTACGTTTCAAACAGATGTACTTTTATTACGTATAATTCGTAAAATAATAAAGACTGCAGGAAAACAAAAAGAAATAGATAGAAAAAAAATGTTGGAAGATAGGTATCGAGGAAAGTGCGAATGAGAAATAAAAAGCTACGATTAAGATAAAGAAAGATTAAGAAGATTCACAAAGTATTATAAAACAAAGTATTATAAAGTTGGCACGTTAGTTGTGACATACTTAGTAATACATAAATACAATAGGAGAGATTAATAAACTAGCGCTTGTTTCAGGAGCTCGATCGTTGTTAAATCTAGACGAATGGAGTGCAGCAACGCGTTAGAGAGAGAGGGGGGAGGGGGAGAGAGAGAGAGAGAGAGAGAGAGAGAGAGAGAGAGAGAGTTCCTAGTATGAGTAATTCTCTGTAAACTCGACTAATCGTGTTATTCGAGCTCGAGTCGGGGAGCGGGCACGCGTAGTTATGTAATGGTAGCGTTAAAGCGTTAATAAGGATCGCAGTGGTGCTTAAGAACAGAATGAAGAAACGAAGGAAATACGCGAGCAATACGCGTCGAAGATGGAGGTAGGAAGAAGAGATGAACGGTGGAAAATGGTGAAGGATGAAAGGGAGCGTGCGGGGAAGAAAGTGGGGGCGGTTGGTCTTTCGGTCGTGGTAGTCACGGGAGTCGTGGTAATAAATGGGCAACACGAGCGCTTATAAGGGGGTAGGTAATCTAAAGCTTTGGAGGCGGTGGCGCAACGGGGGCTGTCGAGAGAAAAGGCGGGCGAGGGAGGCGGGAGAGGAAAGAGAAGGAGAAGAGAGAGAGAGAGAGAGAGAGAAAGAGAGAAAAAGAGAGAGCGAGAGGACCACACGATGAAGAGGAGATAGGCTAAGCGGGGTAAGGAAGGGAGAGAACGGTGTGTGTAGGGTGAGAGGGTCTGGTTGGAGGAAAGCATAGCGGAGGAAGGGACGGATAAGGGTGGTTACGAGCGAGGGTGTGAGATAAGGTATAAGGTGGGTAAGATGGCGGACAATTTGCCGCTCGACTACTCTTGCCCGCACTCCTCCCTGGACGATTCCAACCCCCGCTTCCTTCGACCCCCCTTCCGGTCTATGTACCGGGTAATAGATGTTCCTCCTTCACGACTAACGCGGAGACGGAGACGCTGAACGCGCGCGCAAAACCGTACGCCATCCTTCTTTATCTCGTGGTTTCTTCCTTCGTTCTCGCCTTTCTCTCTTGCAGCAAGACAGAAGGAGACAAGGGAATGACGGCTGTGGAGGCAGCGCATGAACGTGCGTGACGGTGAGAATTGCGCGTGCACGTGAGGCATGTATATACATACATACACACATATATACATACATACATACATACATACATACATACATACATACATACATACATACATACATACATACGTACGTATACGACCGAGAGTTGCGGCCGCATTTCACCTACACGGAAAACTACCGCTCTGACGGAGTACAATCGTCGGTGGGTACGTAGGTATTTAAACGTTCTCCACACAGTCACACTCACCCTGCGCTGCCGTCGCGCGATCCGACTCTGCCACCCCCTCACTTTCACCCCTTCTTCACGTCCGCCCCCTGAGCCGTTTCCGTCGGCGTCCCCTAGTCGGCAGACCGCACCAGCGTGCTCTCTCTTAGCATTCCATCCGCCATCTTCTCACTTAATAAAATAATTACCCCGGGCCAATTAAGCGTTCCCCTCTACGCCGTTCGTTCGTTCGTTCCTTTATGTGGGACCTCGTGCGCGTTCGCCAGTCGCCACGGATCTCGCGCGGCTTTCAGGATTTCGCCGATATAATAACGTGGCACACATTACTTTTACCGTTTATTTGTTATCGTTTTGCGTGGCGAAAATCTTAAGGAATGTCGACTAATTGGCACGTTATATCTGTGCGCGTTCGCGCGACTGAACTTCAGCCTCATTATTAGAGCCGTAGTTACATAGACATGGTTTTTGATTGTACAACTTTACGTAACGTGTTTTCGAAGATACGACAAACAATTCTAACAAAATTTAATCGTGTATTTTTTGCATCAATTGCTAAATTTATTTATTTATTAAAAATTGATGCAAAAAATTTTCGTAAAAATATAAATATAGTAATTATTTTTTTAGTTATATATCTTTAAATATTTTTGGAGATTAATATTAATCCTTCGCAATTCATTAAATATAAAAAAAAATAATATTTTGTATCAACTGTTTAATTTATAAAATTAACATCCGTTCTTTTTCTCAATAAAAATGTATAAAATAGTTAAAGATGTGCATTCTACAGTATTAGTGTTATTATATATCCGATTTGATTGAATATATATACGAAAATATGTATTAATCTTTTTCCAAAAAATATGTAAAATCTTTATATATATATATATATATATAAACTTCACATCAGTGAACTCTTTTGACTATTCTTGAAGCTTATAGCTGTTTACGCTTGATTTAAAACACCTACTTTACTTTCCAACGGTGAAGAGATATCGGTCAGAATTACGGCAAGAGCTGCGTTTGCGAAGATGGCACCACTTTAAAGCTGAATGATTCATCTATTCCAAAATGTCTGCTGCATTAACACGTCGTGTTTTCGGTCAACAAATATCTAATTTCGTCGGTTTGACGGTTTCGGTGTTATCTCAGATATCAAGAAGGTACAAATGGAAACTTGTGCAGCTACCAGAACCGGGCGTAGGCAAAGCCTTTCGAAGAATCGTTCATTTCAAAGATAATTACACGGTGAAGCCTTTGAAAATTACGAATCTAGCAGGCAGAGATCCTATCACAGGTGAGAATATCTCCCGTATCAGCTTTTCTTTTTGAAATCTTCTCTATCTTACCTTTATTAATAAGGTTTTTACAAATTAATGGGGATAAAACTTAATGCGTGTCGTATACCATGCATAGATTGTTACTATTCTCGAGAGGTCTGACCTCTACTGGCGAAAGTAGAAAACTATTTGTAGATAATACAGATATCTGTATATCGACTCAGATTAGACGATTAGATTTATTTCATTGGGAAAGAGATTTGATATTATATGTACGAACATTATATCAAATACATGTGTGTATATATATATATA